AAACCCTAAACCCTCAACACCTATTAGCTTCAAGGTAGGGACCCCGACGTAGCTCAAGCAGGCTGCTCTGGGAGACATCCGACAGGCCGTGGCTGCAGCACTTGAGGACGGCACTTTCAGGCGGTTTAGGGTTTAGGGTTTTTAGAGTTTAGGGTTTGGGGTTTACGATTGAGGGTTCCAGGTTTGGGTTCAAGGTTTGGGGTTTAGGGTTTAGGGTCAGTGTTGCTGCATTGTAGGGGTACCCTACCGTCCCTTACTATGAGGCAGTGGGCAGATCATGTGGGAGACTAGTAAGAGTAGTAGAAAGAGCAATGGATTAATAGTATCGGAAGTGCAAGATTTGTCGAAACATGTTCGCTGGAAGCTCCAGGCTCAGGCAAGTTTATAGGGCTTGGGGGTTTTGGGTTGAGAAAGCTTCGTGACATATGTGGCGCTAGGATTCGAGGAATTTCGGGATGTCAGGGTCAACCTAGACCTCCAAAATTAGCTAGGCGTTTAGTGTTTAAGGGTTTTTGGGTTCAGGGTCAGGGGAGAATGGCCCAAAAATCCTCAAAGATAGCCAGAAAGTCCATGACACTACATGCTTTGCGAGTCCCGGCAGTCGTGTTTGGGTTTGGGCGGTGGAAGGAAGACGGGTGTGTGGCGAAAATGTTTTTACAATTCTATTTCCCTTAATCCCCATATAATCCTCATAAAGCCAAGAAAATTTGTGTTTTTTTTAATAAATTGATTCCCGCAAGACACTGGAGCTAAGCCCTTACACCCTAAACCTTAAATCTCACAGCAACAGCTATCCAGAAAGATGTCAGCCTTGCTGCCCCAGTGCCAACACAAGGAACACATATTCAAATTTGAGAGTAGCAGTACTCGTAACAGCAACAGTAATAGTAGTAGAAATGACAAAAGTAAAAGGATTACTTTAGTAATAGTAGCCGTATCAGCATCAGCAGCATGCAGTTTCTTCATGCAAAGCTCCTAACGATGCACTTTGTCATGCAGTTTGGACCCTTCACGTAGGATTCCGTAGTATGTTGACATTTTGACCCTATGTGGGCCAGGTTCTCAGGGACGCTGCGTCACTTCCAGAATCCGAAGCCCAAATCCAAACAACAAACTCGCAGCGCTGAACGCCACATAACCCCTGTATACTCTTATGAAAACGTTGTATAGCACTTATACTTATCCAAAACTGAGCAGCTGACCTGGAAGGGCGTGCCACTCATAGCCATATTTCGTTTTACAACCCTGTACTCAGTCCCTGTGGCATTATTGCCGTTGTCATAAGCAGGATCCATCTACCCCACGGGTCCATGCACCCGATAACTGGGTATGTAGGAGTTTGGCAATCGTATTTGTAGTCCAGTTTTTTTTGGGCTGTGTATGGTTATTGGGGACTGGGACCCTTGGGGCTATAGTTGTTACAGAGGTTGTGGGTGGTAGTTGACCAACATTCTTGTTCCCCTAAACCGTGAACTCTAACCCCTCCCTAAACCCTAGACCCTAAACCGTGTGGCCCTAAACCCCTACAGATCGTTTTCCTTATCGACCTTCGGGATCCCCTTCTCCCAAGGGACCTTTAGATGAACCACCAATTGACACAACCCCTAAACCTTAGGTGGACACCTGATAGGGTTTAGGGTTTGGGTTTAGGGTTTTGCTTTTAGTGTTCATGTTTAGGGTTCAGGGTCAGTAATAGTGACTATTAGGGATAGTAGCGATGCTACTAGAGTCCTCTTATATTCCTATTACACCACCATTGCAGGGTGGGGGGATCCTCCTAGCCTAATCCCTAAACTCTAAGATTTGAGGAGAGCCGATCCCGATCGGGGGTGGGCAGCAGTCCGCTAAGACAACCCCCGGGTGATAAGGCGCACAGGGCTCCGTGCATTGCTTGCCTGAAGGAGGTTATACGGACATGTGGTGAGTTTCGAAACATCTGGGTCCTTTGTTGAAGATCCCCAATAAGGAGTTCATCATGGGTTATACAAGGGGAACCTCGTGTTTGGAAATCATGCAAGGTTCAGTTTAGGGAGAAGATGGATTGGGTAAGTTGAGGGTTGTCCACGCTCTGGGTCCTCTTTTTTTCTCGCCTAAGTTTTTGGGACGCATGTAGAAGCAGAGAGAAGGGAAGATTATCAGGACATCGGGGCACACTTTCGGGAGGGAGTATCCCTGGATCCCTATAGGTTCTGTATCGGAGCGCAAGAACTCCAGAGAAATCGGGTACAATCTATGGGATGAGCCTGAAATATTCTATCATTAGGGTCCCCTACGCCCTGGAACCCCAAAGCCCGCATAACCTAACCCCAAATCGAAAATGTGTTTCCGCAGCTCGTTTCGGCCCCCTCCACCACAGAAAGGGTCCTAGAAGCCCATGTGCCTAGATGACAGGTTCCCATGTTGTAGAGACTATCCCTTGTCCCCTTTAGATAGGGGTATATGGTCCCTATTTAGGGTATGTAGAGGGTAGATGGAGGGTCGAAGAGTTGATGTGGACGAAGGAATAGAACTAATAGAACTCCATCGTATCTGAGTTTCGCTCGGACATATCTTGCATTTTTTCATTCTGAAGCCCATTGCTGAAACACGATGCCTGATGTGAAGCTCTAGTTTCTTGTCGAACCCTAAAGCCTACACCCTAAACCTGATATAGCTCCATTATGTAGTTTCCATTCTCTTTTCCATTATCCCTAAACCCTAAACCACATGGGATTCTAGGGCAAGAACCTCATCAGGCCCTGAGCCCCAAAAGCAGCCTGCTTGACCAGCAATACTTTTGGGGCAAAGAATACCCACAGGGTCCAAATACCAGTAGGGTTCTTTTTTATCGCACTTATAGTTCAGGGTTTGGGGTACGTATTCGACTTTTGAGAGCTTGGACCCTTAGGGATATGCTTTGGACATGGCTCAGATTTGCTTCCGACATAAGATGTGAAGATCTTGTCCTGTTCTAGGTTTATTTTCCATGGGTCTCCCTAGTTACCTACAAATAACCGTATTTCAAGGGAAACCAAGGAGTAGCATCGGGGGGGGGGGGGGGGGGGCGGCAGTACAGGAACGCATGCATTTCTTAGGGCGTATACAGTCTTCAAATTGACTTACAGCCTTGTTGTGGCTCTGTGGGCTGTGGGGTTTGCTTGGAATGTTGTGCTGGCTTTGTTGGGCCGGCGGGTGTCCAAAAATTTCATTTTCTGCAGGGGTGCGCATACAGAGCCCCAGTATGCTCGTGGTAGAAGAGTTATCCGCACTTTGCAAAATAGATGGGAACCGGCCCGCAACACTGTATGTTCCAGAGTTCCGGTGCGTTATGGGGGTTCTTAACTCTCAACGTGTGCAATAGGAGGCCCAGAAGCCGCCAGAAGCCAAGCTTGTGTGTGTATGTGTGTATGCTGGTGGCAGAAGTCTTCCTGTCTTAATGACGCAATGACCGTCTTCGGATGTTACAGTGTCCTTGTCTACATTGCCCGACTGGCCGTCAGGGGACTTAAAAGTCGGGTTAATTGGCATAACTGGGGTCGTTATTCTTGACCTTACAGAGGTTATGCATATGCTTATACTGATTCCCCCTGACCTTCCAAGTACGAAGTCTGGGAACCAAGGTACAGCTACAGTGGATGAGTTCTTATACGGTGGAGAGTGAGCATTTCTCTGAGTTTGCACGGGATGTGCTGCGTGACTTCTGGGGTCATGGTGATTTCATCATAGTGGCTTGCTATGCTTGGGAAGGTTTTGTGTGTTTCATGCCTTGTGACCGACTTGCAACCAAACTTGCAGTGATGTCTCAAACGTTTGTAGGAATAAGCTCACCTATGAAGACAACTCAAGTTGGTGGAATGAAGAACCTCAGGCTGCGAGAAGCAAGGCGCTTGCATTTAATGAGGCTCCCAGAAGTCTAAGTCAGCAAACAAGACTGTTGCACAAGTATGGCTTCTCAGAATCTCAGAAGAGGTTGTGGAGGAAGAGAAGGAGGAGTGTGAGAAGGAAGGCGTGGTCACACGGACCGAGTTTCGTGTTTCGCCTGTGTTGCTGAGCAGAGCACCTCGGTCAGCATTTGGGAGTTTCTGTCGCAAACAAAACCCTCATGTCCTTTGCAAAGAGAAACCCCTAAACTTTCCGAATGCTACTGTGGGGGCCTAATTCAATAATAGCATGTCGACGTCTATCTGAGTCATTTGATGTACGCTATACCATAATCATCCAGGGGAGGGTGGGCCATAATATTGGTATTGGTGCTTATTCAGACTTATACATGAGAACCCGACGTTTCGCCTATTTCAGACCCCATGACAGTGGCTTCGGAAGCACATGCGCGTACTTGGGGTTCATTTTGCGGTGGGTGGGGGTGAAGTCTGTGATTCCTGCCAGTGCAGTCACATGTCCAACACGCCAATGCATGATGTCCATAGGCTCAAGGTTCTAGTGTGGACTCAGTAGCACTCCAGTGCCTCAGCTGTAAAAGAGACACCTGACCGCCTTGCTGTCTGTACCGTTGTGAGGGCAGTAACGCACA